ATATATATATAACCGATTTCTAAACCGGTTCAGCGAACATTGTTCACGGGAATTGGGCGTTACGGTTCATCTCGACAGTGCCAATATCGAGTACAAAACACTTACCGTGTTGCTTCCAATAATCTGCCATTGGATTAATCCATTCCGGTTCAGCAATCTCCGCTCTCTGGTGCTTCAATTCATCCGTCGAAATGTTGTACTTCTCATCTCTGATCTTCACCAACTCCGGATTTAATACCCCTTGTCCCACCCCTTGAGGTGACATCATTAGTTCGGGTGCACCCATAGGTAACTTGTCACCTAAAGAAACACAAACATAAGAACCAATAATTATTCGAACCAAATTAAACCGGAAAAATTCGAACCAAATTAAACCGGAAAAATTCGAACCAAGTTCACCACTATAAATTTCATGACTCTAAGTAATGCTTGATTGTTTTAACCGATTAACCATTAAACCGAATAACTAATTGCTAACCATTCGATTAATCAGTATATAAATTAATCCAAACCATTTATATAGATTCAGTCCGGTTTACAGCAGATCTAAGTTGAACCATTCGATTAGCTGGTATACTAATTTTATAGAAATGATTACATATAGAATTAGTCCAATTTAGAGCCGATATTTAGATCGTAGATACGATGTTTGATTGTTTCACACTACGATCAATAGGTATATACTGAACAATAGAAACGGTTTACACAGAACCGGTCTGGTTTAGAGCTAATATTTAGATCCGAGACATACCTCGGTCAATCTGCCAGGTGCACCAAAACTTTCCGTACGTTTTGGCTATGTTCTTGAGCTCCGGAGTAGCCACAACCTCAGGCAATCGTGGATATGCCCACGAACCGGACTTAACCTCGTAAGCATGAGAGTGCCAAAGCTTTTGCTCATCATTAGGCAGATTTTCGTATAATCGATCCGATATTATATATTCTATTCCTGTATTACAAAGTTATTCAAAATTGGGCATTGCATGTGATGTGAGTAAAAAGGTATGAATAAAGAGTACCGATGAGAGGTGCATTGGAACGGTCCGATGCGTAAACGGCGCACTGGAGGAACTCGCCGTTGACTCGGTGGACGTAGTGGTGAGTCTCTATTTGCCGGGACATATCTCCACCGTAAATCGCAAAAGTAGAGACATGACAGTTCATTTCCCTCACCGGTAACCTCCGCTGCATGATCGTTGTTCCAGCATCGATCAAACGTGTGGAAACCGTCACCGGATCTCCGGGAGGCACCTTAGCTTCGTCGCCGGTCAAAGCCATTCTTGATTTTTCCAAA